CTTCTCAGGGGAGACGTCCAGTTTATTAAGAGACATTTTTACCATAGATTCTAAGCACACTGGTGAAGAGAAAGACACTCATGATAAGAATAAGACATACTCAGCTGTGGGTTTGTGCTTTTCAAGGGAGAGTGACAATCAAGTGTCTGCATTAACCATATATACCATGTTGGTGGCATCTCAAAGGACTACTAAGAAACTCTCTCTCATCTACTTTTTTAATTTTAATTTTTTATTTTATGTGTATGAGTGTTTTGCCTGCATGTGCGTAAGTGCATCACATGTGTGCAAGGCCCTTCAGAGGCCAGAAAATTAGACTCCCTAAAACTAGAGTTACAGATGGTTGTTAGCCACCATACAGGTGCTAGGAATTGAACCTGGGTCCTCTGGAAGAACAGCAAGTGTTCTTTACTGCTGAGCCATCTCTCCAATACCTCACTCTGGTCTTTTTTTGAGACAGAGTCTCCCTGTAGACCCATCCTAGAACTCACTATGTAGAACAGGCTGGCCACCACTCTCAGAGTTACACCTGCCTCTGCCTCCTGAATACTGAGATTAAAGGTATGCACCACCACCACCCACTTTTCTCTCTCTTCTTGATTAGTGAAATTATAGGGTGATTCCAAAGGTACCTTGGATAGGATTATAATCTGATAAGGTAAAACAAAGAGCCACTAGGGTTACACCGAAGTTTGGAACATGTCCTTTAACTGTAAAAGGAATTAAGATTTCTATAAAATTTCAGTTTTATGGCTTGAAAGAAAGGCCTTAATCAAATGTTGCTAATTGTGTTGGAATTCTTTTTTCTTAGTTGGAAATAGGCTTTGAAAGATTCCTGGGTGAGGAACTCCTTTCTCTTCTTATGCCCCATAATTTCCTGTCTTTCTACCCTTCCCCACAAATACTAAGCTTAAGATGTAGCATGGCACTCCATAAGACTGAGCACAGAATGACTGGTGGGCTGTAAGGTGACTACTGACTCAGGCTTGCAGAAGCTGTAGAGATGGTACAGTGATCCCTCCTTAACAGGAGGAATAAATCAGCCCTAGAGTGGTCATTACTGTAGAATCACCCTACCTCAGTTCAAAAACCAACTGATCCCCAGGTAGCTTATCTACACTGAGAAACTAAAGTGGGCTCTTAAAAGGGAAACAAAATTTGCACTTAACAAAGTCATAATCACAATGTCCACTATAGAATTAGGAAAAAAAATACTAGACATGTAAAGAAAAAGGAAAGGGAGAGCCCCAAATAGGAGAAAACAAGCTAAAAAGGGAAAAATGGGAAGAAGTTTAAGAGAAGTAAATGAAATTTATACAGTGAAACTTCAAACAGTAGCTCAGAAAGTAAAAAGCTGAAAGAAAATGACACCAGAGACTTAGTGACCTATAGAGAAACATTAGCCAATTTAGACAGTTTGTGTTTAATTTTACTGACGTTTAAAACTCTTGCAATATATGTCTCCTGGGAATCCCATCCAATATAAATTTCATTTCATATATTGCATTTCTAGAGCTGAAAACTGCTTGGAAGCTCCATTTAGTTATTTTTTTGTATCTTACATTTTTCCTGCCTCAATATGTTCACATATTTCCTTAAGCATATTTCAAACAACTGTTCTGTGTCTGCTAATTCCACGTCTCTGTCATTTTATAGTTTCTATTATTTTTCACCTTCTTTTGCATCATAATAAGGATAAGAATGGTCATAGACTTCTTGCCAAAAAATGCAAGCCAGAAGACATTGGACAGTATGTGTTAAGTGCTGAAAGAAAATATAAAGCCAACCTAGAACTAAATACCGAGAAAAAAAGAAACTCCGGTAAGGAAGACGGAATCCCAGAACCTCCTATGTTACTGCTGGAAATAAGAGCACAACTTCTGTGGGAAATAATTTAGTAGTTTCTTCCTAAGTTAAATATGTACTTTCAAACAATCCAGCAGTTCCAACTTAGAATTTTACGTTTGACAAAACATATGAAAACGTGTCCACACTTGTCCTTTAATGACTATAGGAGATTATTCAAAACGGTCGTGTCAAACAAATGCTGGTGACAGTATTCTTCTTACTGTCCAGCTCATGTATTCTTGTAGCGTCAAGAAATGTTTCTTCTGAGTGAGAGGGAGAGCGACAGAGAGAGAACCAAAATGTCTGTCAACAGCACCAGCAGGTGAACAGAAGAAGGAATTATGATACATCTACTATTAATACTATTCTGAAATAAAAAGAAATGAATGATACTTGTAGAAGAATGGATGAACATCAAAGTCATGGGCATAAAAAAGTATGCATTGTAGGTTTCATTAATACTAAATTCCATAGCAGGTGAAACTAACACATATTGACAGAAAACAGATGAGATCTTGGCTGGGGATGAGGCTAAGAAATGGACCAATGTAACTGGAGGTTGCTTATTGAAACAAGTTTAGGTTGTAGTAGTGACTGCATAAGTATGAGTATTGTTAAAATTCACTGAATTGTTTACTCAAAATAAGTGCAGATTGTTGCATATATGTTACGACTCCATAAAGTTGCTTTCAATGAAATAAAATGTTAAAGAATGAAAATAGTTGGGCCTCATTCCCAGTGATGCCAGCACAGCAGGATTGTTATGGGGCTCAGATATCTACATTTTAAACACTGACAAATTGTGATACAGTTCGTTCCACTCATAGAATAGTATTGTTCTCCATAATTACCTAAACAGTCAAATAAATCAAGCCAGCAAAGACAATTTAGAAGGAAAGTGCTTGGGTTTTCTGTGTCCTGGTACCATATCCAGCTCCCGTCTTTAGGTGGAAAACTGACCACACCAAGGAATTCTCCTGGGTGTCCAGTTCTCCTAAATAAAAACACATTGTTAAGTACAGAGAAACCATTTTGTTTGCATAAAGCCAAATCCTTCCTAAAGGCCATTTAAATCTTGCAGCTGGGGCTGGAGAGATGGCTCAGCGGTTAAGAACACTGGTTGTTCTTGTAGAAGATCTGGGTTCAAATCCCAGCACCCACATGGCCACTAACAACTGTCCATAACTCCAGTCCCAGGGGATCCAACAGCCTTTTCCGACCTCCGCAGGCATTGCAGGACACACACATACCCATAAAAATAAAAATAATAAAATATTTTTAAAAGTTTAAATCTTGCAGCTGATGGCCCAGCTTACTAGATGCGTGACACACACAAATGTGTTTAAGCTGGGAGAACAGCAGGTAGACAGGGGCCTGAAGACCACCTGTGTGGAGATTGTAACAGCACACAACACACTAAACACACTAAACACTGTCTCCTCTGCCCATTTCTGTAGAACAAGAGTCATTTCCCTGCCAAATCAGATGAAAACACCAAGCTCTATTTCCATCCTTGGTTTTCTCTGCTGCCTGACTTATCTTCATCACCTTTGGTCCTCCTGTCCTGTTTACTTGCTGAAATCCTCCCATCCTTCATGGCCCAGCTTGGTAACACCTCCATTAGGCCTTCCCAGATAACCACAGTCAGAAGAACGCTTCCTCCCACCTCAGCTCATACACCACCTGTCTCAAAGAGTCCTCACAGAACTCTTGATGTGCATTCACTTATCCATGTGTGTGCCACACCTAGTCTAAGAGACTGAGATCTACTTGATCATAGAGTCTATACCTTATTATCTAATCTAGATGTAGCAAAGAGCCCAGTACATTGTGTTGTACTCAGTGGGTGTTTTATATGCATTGATCATAGAAATGAGGGAACAAGGGGCTGGAGAGATGGCTCAGCAGTTAAGAGCACTGACTGCTCTTTCAGAGGACCCAAGTTCGATTCCCAGCACCCACATGGCAGCTAACAACCATCTGTAACTCCAGTTCCAGGGGATCCGACGCTCTCTTCTGACCGCCACTGGCATTTTGTGACACGGGTCACCTACCTACATGCAGGCAATACACTCATACACATAAAATAAAAATAATAAATAAAATATAAAAAGAAATGAAGGAATGATTTCATGTTGATTCATGTCTCTGCGTTCCGGCTCATACCTCCCTCCCCAAAAAGCCCTTCCCACCTCCTGTTACTTGCTCCAAGAAGCCTTGCCAGATCCACAGAGCAGTGGCTCTACAGCACTCCAGTGAAAACTTTTTCTTACCAGTTCCCACCACCACATTTCAAAATTATTACCTTTTTGTCCACTTATTGATAAGCTTCAAGATACCAAAGATCCCATGCTGGTCAGCCCTATTTTGTCATCACCTAGCCCAGTGTTTATTAATGGCATGCATTTCCTAAATGTCAAACAAAATGATGGCTTTAGAAGGTTCTAGAAACATTAGCCACAACGGAACTGCTCTATTTAGTTTCTGCTCCTATTAGAGCAGCCCAAACTGCCCTGAGATCCCGTTTCCTGAGAAGCCCAGCCCAGAGCAACCTTCCTTGCCTTAATTTTCCCCTGGAGGCACTAAGCAACATGCTCCAGTGTTTTCTAGAGTCCCTTAAGTCTCCGTGGTTCTGGGTTCCAGGGGGCAGGTGTGGTGACCTCTTGTCAGAAGGTCTTAAAGATGGGCCCCAGCCTCTGAGATGGCTGGATACAGGAAAAAGTGACCTTTTAGAGCCCCGTGCCTCTATTTCTCTCTTGGTCTGCGCCTGCCTCCCTTTATTCTCCCTCTTCCTCCCAGTCATCTCCCGTTTTCTTCTTGGTCCCACCGCACTTCTCCCAGCGTCTCTATTTGGGTTTCTTTGGCTTTTCCTTCCAAGCCTGTCTGATTGATCGCCTCCATGCCGGGTTCCC